TCTGGAGTCAGTGCATCCCTTACAGGTGCCTGAGAATGAGCCTCCTCACCCCCTTCTGGAGTCAGTGCATCCCTTACAGGTGCCTGAGAATGAGCTTCCTCACCTTTCGAATACGTGGCTCTTTCTCCTCTGCAGCTAAGAATTATTGACTATGTTCATGCACTGCATGAAGGCTTAACAGTCACAAAGTAGCACAGTCAAAAGGCAAATAATTCCACTTTTTGATCATCTAGATACATCCACTTTAGCCAGTTTCATATTTACACATCTTCACACATAAGAACTCTTTCTACAGAACAGAAGCAACTCTTTCTGCTTAACTACAGTTCTAAGAGTTCATCAGATACGCCATAAAAATCAAAGTTAGCTAAAACCTGACCAAACCACACAAGGCAGAGATTTTAATAAGACAGAAAATGACTTGCCTGTTTCAAAATTATCCTGAAGTTTTCGTGGATGAAGTTTCTTTTCACATTTCTATTAAAAATAAAATACACATACACAAAACCTCCTGTTATTTAACTTATTAAAAATCAGGAGCTATATTATAAAATTTGTCACAGAGAAAATTAAACCAGGAATATAATCACCATTATTGATTACATTTCTCACCTTGAGCTAATTACTATTAACACTGGGGTATATATCGTCTCAGCATTTTTTCCATGAAGATATGTATATATTCATGTATTTTCACAAAACTGTATAAATTTTAAATGGAATTATGATAAAAACTACCATCCCATAACTTTTAAAATCTAATACACTGTCTGCGGCTCAGCGCCCGTAGCTCAGTGGATAGGGAGCCAGCCACACACAGCAAGGCAACCGTGTTTGAACCCGGCCCAGGCCTGCTAAACAGCAATGACAACAACAAAAAAATAGCCTGGCGTTGTGGCAGGCACCTGTAGTCCCGGTTACTTGGGAGGCTGAGGAAAGAGAATTGCTTAAGCCCAAGAGTTGGAGGTTGCTGTGAGCTGTGATGCCACAGCTCTCTTCTGAGGGCCACAAAGTGAGACTCTGTCTCAATTTAAAAAAAAAAAAAATACACTGAGATAAATTCAAAAAACAAAAACATAAAATTTACTACACTATAAACAAATTATTTTTTCAATAAATAAAACCTAAGTTGTCATTTTTACTGATTTCATGGTAGTCTGCTGTACAGATCTGATTCTATACTTAATAACATATTCTTGGATACTTACATCATTTCTATCTTTTCATTAGTACAAAGAATAAGGGGATGAACACTCTTTAAATTCCCCTTCTAGGGAATAAGTGGTTCTGTTGTTGCTTTTCTTAATTAAGAGATAAGGTCTCGCTGTCACCCAGGCTGGAGTGCAGGGGCCCAATCATAGCTCACTATCACACTGAATTCCTGGGCTCAAGTGAGCCTCCTGCCTCAGTCTCCCAAAGTGCTAGGATTACAGGCATGAGCCTGGCCAGCAAACACTTCTGTAGAATTTTGATACAGCCAAACTCTCCCTGGGTTGTACCAATTCGTAATTTTCACATGTTGTCCATACACTCAATAATCAAGAACTGGGTGTTATTAACATTTCGTCCTTGCGGTCTGGGGAGGGAAAGTGGGATCCCATCTTAATTTATGTTCTGTGACTACTCATGTCCACATGTTCACCACTATTATGCTTTCTCTTATAAACTGTTCACATACTCGTTCTCCATTAACTTTCTTAAACATAACTATTTAACTTTAAAAACTTTACCTGTCCCATTTTGGTTAGAAACCAGTGTGGAATTTTATTAAAAACCTTTCAAGCATCTGTTAATATTGTCTCCTTTGCTCTTGCCACTACAAGAAGTCTGCTAATAAACCAACCTCCAACATCTTTCTACGGAATCGTTACAGCTCAAGTTAAATAAGCAGCATCCAAAGAATTCAGGTAAAATGTTTTTGCTGAAAATTTGAAATTATAATCACCACTCCCTGCTGAACAAACAAAAAGTAGGTAAAGCTACAATAAGAAAATCCAGCATCACATATTAGTCAGGACTTACAAAACAACAACAACGAAAAAGGCAATGAGACCATTAGTTACGAATTAGCTTCTAGAACACAAACTACATAAGAGAATGAAAGGAAACTCCTTCAAGTGCTCACTATTACTATTATTTCTCTTCAGGCTAATGAGAACGGCCCTGGCTACAGATGTTTAAAACTCCCCATCACCTTGAAGGAATAAAGACACATTATAAACTTTTCCCAAATCTTCAACTTCATTAAGGTAATACAGAATTTTTAGAAAAATATTAACGGAATAGTTAGCAAAAAAAAAAAAAAAACTGCTGTAGAGAACAGGTCTCACTATAAATAGGTTTTTCTGTTGTTTCTGAAACAGGGTCTCACTCTATTGCCTAGGATAAAGTGCAGTGGCATCAGCCTAGCTCACAGCAACCTCAAACTCCCAGGCTCAAGTGATCCTCCTGCCTCAGCCTCCCGAGTACCTGGGACTACAGGCACCTGCCACAATGCCTGGCTAATTTTCCTATTTTTAGTAGAGACAGGTTCTCGCTCTTGCTTAGGCTGTTCTCAAACTCCTAAACTGAAGAAATCCTCCCACCTTAGCCTCCCACAGTGCTGGGATTACAGGCGTGAGCCACCACTCCCTGCCTACACAGTGTAAAATGGGAAAAGCCATATAAAAAGTGAAGATTAGATGCACAGTTGCATCAAAAGAGATTTTTACTGTGAACCTGACAGTGTACAATTTAGCTCCATACAAATTAGTCTACCAATATAGTGACGCACAGCAGCTCACACCTATAATCCTAGCACCCCAGGAGGCAGAGGCAGGAGTAAGCTCAGGAGAGTTTGAGACCAGCCTGAGCAAGAGCAAGATCCTGTCTCTATGAAAAATGAAAAAATTAGCTGGGGTTGTGGTGGGCTATAGTCCCAGCTACTTGGGAGGCTGAGGCCGAAGGATCACTTAATCCCAGGAGTTTGAGGTTGCTGAGAGCTGTGATGCCACGGCACTCTACCCTGGCAACAGAGGAAGGAAGAGTCAGTCTCACACACACACAAAAAAGTCATGCAACAATAATGTATCAATTAAAATAAGATCAAAGCAATAACATTAGTGGCCTGGACAGCGCCCTTGCTCCACTCTTAGGAAGGTGGCTGTGCTCTTACCATCAAGGAGTTCTGCTGCTTGGCTGGCTGGCTGTGGACCCCATTTGTTCTCTTCTTCTGATTAGGTGAGTCTTGATACTGTTTTCTGCCATTTCCTCGCAGACTTTGATTCTGTTTTTCCAGTAAGAAATGAAACGTTGTGTGTAGTGTAAGGTAACAGCACAAAAGAACGCACTCCCAGGACTTTGTTTAGCTGGTTCTATCCCGTCTCCAGCAAGCTCTGCCCCCCACCCATTTTCATAAATCACCATATCAATGTTTCCTTATAGAAGAAAAGGCTTCACAAAGCAAGCTTCCTCTTAAAGTATGAGGCCCCAGCAACCTTTCCACACCTGCTGCCTTTTCCTGCGTCTCCTTACAGGTTTTGTTTGGGACATAAACATACAGGAACAGAAGGTCTCTGGGAGGGATCAGGCAGCACATGGAATCAGCTGCTACATTAAAAATCTGCTTTAGGCTCGGCGCCTATAGCTCAACCGGCTAAGGCGCCAGCCACGTACACCTAAGGTGGCGGGTTCGAATCCCCAG